TATTACTAATGGTACTAGTATTGTATTAATATTAAACAATTTGGACTTTGCCATGGAATGCATTCCAATAAATAATCCTAATACATTTTAAATTACATCCATCTGTGGCAACACCAAACTCTAAATATCTCAGCACTGAATAAGGTTTGAATCCAACAAATGTCTCATATCTGGGCTCCTCTCTAGTGAAGGGCATTTTCATTTTAAATGCAGATGATTTCTGACGAGTCTTACAATCCAGACCGCTTCACTTGGAATCGTATTTGAGTCCATCCTCATCCTTTACTCTCTCCACCTGCTGATTACCATCGGAAAGGTGCTTGTATCTTAATTAATAGCTATTTCTCAGCCTGTCTTGTTGTCCCTCCTCATGTATGTCCATACTTTTGACATTACAAATCATGGTCCTTTTATTACTTTTTCTAGGGCTTTCAAGGACTTCATCAACAGAGTTTGGTCAGCTGTCATGGACGCAGACTTGTTGACATGCTAGTTCAGTAGAAGTCAGTAGCAGTAGGTGGACAATGAGCTGGGACTGTTTCATCAAATTATTATCTTTGATGCTTTGGGGTTTTCTAAAATGCTGTAGTGATTTTTAGTATTACACTGGACATGCTGGGATCAGACTTAGTAATGCATCACTGAGGACCTTTTAAAGATGTCAATAATTACTACTCTCAAGGGACAAGTGATGAAGGTAAGAGGTGGGCGATGTGAGGAGAGTCATAGTTTCCCATTGAGAGGCCATTAAGACATTGCTTTAGTTAGCTACTTATTAAAAGCCTGTACTTTTGCGCTATGTTTTTAGTAGGTAATTTTATGTACTCCCTGAATCTTGCTGTGATCATTTTTCTTGATGCCATCTGGTGGACAGTGTGTGAGTGTTGCACTGTGGGAGACACTTCATGCTAGTAGTTGACACTAGGCCTAATACTCTTACTAGGCACAGTAAGGGCATGAGTGAATGTCTTATAAAAGTTCCTTTTTATGGCAAGGTCTATGTGTTTTATTGCTGTTGTTCATCTATGTGATATGAGCTTTCTTCTGTCCAGCGCAGTAAAGGTAATCAACTGAGGACAGTGCTTGACTTGGAGTCGAATCCATCCTGGATGAAATTTAATTCCAATAAATGTCCTCCCTAAGCTACAATACCAGTTTAGGTACCAAATGTCTGGGGAACTCTATGAGAACTTTGAGTTTAAATATTGGTTTCTACCATCTTATCTTAAAGTTTAATATGCACACCAATGTGCTTATTGTACTTTCTTTTAGGATTAGCCAAGCTGTGGGTCAGATTTAATAGGAGTCATAATAAATTCAATCTTGTAAGCCTGGAACAGTAAGGTTCTCTCTAGAGGGTCGACTGGAGCTCTGATAAACTGATCATTGGAGATTTGATTTGCCATCCAGAAAAATAGTTATGTGCTTCCTACCTTTTGAAATATTTCTCCTCAAAAGAGTCTTTGAAAGTAATATTTAAGCATTCAAGAAAATGTGTGTAACTTTATCTCACTTTTTATTAAAAAGTGAGATAGAACCTCATAATTCCACTATCACATTTGACATTAATTATTTATACTCAAGTTCAATCATCCAGTCTTTTGACAGTTCACCAAGAGTGGATCTTAGATTTTGTTCTTGAATTTAAGGTTTCAGATGAGTGAGTATGATGAAATTACACCGACCTCAGCGTTGTTATAGATGCCAAACAGGCTAGGTCTCATGCAAACTGATGACTGAAAGCGTTTTTTTGTCAGAGCAGAGAACTTCTTGGTTTAATGCTTCCATGCTGAGTGGTGTAAACCAGCTGATGGAGGCAGGATGCTTCTACAAACTGCTCACTGAGCTGAGGAGACACTGTGGACATGAATAGATCCCAAAGGATTTAGCAGCTTAAGCATAGGCGTTGCAAATAGAATGTGTAATTATCTGGGTATTGTCACTACTGCCTGAAAATCTTATCTGAAGTGTCTGTGCTCTTTAATTATTATATTTCAAACTAGAAAGCCACCACAGTTGGAAGATTTTTTTCATATTAACAGTATGAAGGTTCAGCTATGATCAAAAAGTCTCAAACTTCTCCAAGTGTTACTGCTACTTTTCCCATCCTGCACATCTCCAGAACAAAACTGTCAAGAAATGATCACTAACTGATTTAAATGACACAACATATTCCTCCTGGGAGATAGTAGATATACTGTAAATGTGTGTTACCAGGAACTGATAGAGGCAGTTAACAGAGAGCATACATTTGTCTCCTGTTCTGAACAGGTTCTGCAACACCTGCCTTGTGAGCTGCGAATGCTGCGACCAGATGGCACTGCTCTGAAAACACCTGGCCCTCCACATACACACACACACACACACACACACACACACATGTGCTGTACAGGCAGACCTCTTCTTCAGTTGTTAAGGATACAATCTCAGATTATCAGTCAAATTACAGGATTATAGAATCACTCAGCAGTGGTGATGATAATAAAAAAAAGTCCATCAACATTTGTTCTTGTGTGACAAAAAAAAAAAACATATTAAACTAATTATTTTTTCTTCACTGAAAATTAAGGGAAAAAAGGTTAACCTAGGTCCACGAGCAAAGAAATGACAGTCTTGTCAGAGCTGACTGTTAGAGTGTGATCTCAGTTTGACATCTGTGACTTTTTGTGCACTTTGAAAGATGT